TTAGAGTGTCCTCTTGTATCTCTACTTATGATATATGGAGGACCTTGGAAAGTTACTTTGGAAATGAAAATGTTGAAGTAGCCTTGATGGCGATTGAAGAATCCAAAACAGAGGAAGAAGTGATAGGGATGATGGCCATGAGTGATTCATAAACTAAAGATGAAGCAAACCAGGTAAGTATATCCGACTTAAAAGAGAACATTCATTCTATGTCCCAAAAATAACTAATGGCCATAATTATGACCTTAATGAATGAAATGGATAAAATGAGTACGGAAATAATAAGCTAATAAGAAACATTTCTTGTGTCAAACTTGATATCAAAGAGCTTGAATCTGACAAAGCTAGTTTAGAGAAACAGGTCAAAGATCTTAAGAACCAGGATCTTGAGCTTACTTCTAAGAATGAGAAGTCTCCTGATATACAGGGCAAAGGAAAAAAGAGTGATCTGCAGGATAAGCTTGAAAAGGAATTAAACATTACTAAAGATAATCTTTGCGATGCTGAATGTAGAAATAAAGTAACTGTAGGAAAACCTAGAAAAGGCTAATTATGAACTCTCTAGACTAAGCAAATGACATATCTTCTGATGCCTTGAATTGGCTGAATGAAAACTGTAGCTCTAACAAATCTGGAATTGGCTGCAGAAAACCTGTCCCTAAGTTCGACCCAAAGTATGTAGGAATTTCTCATGATAACATGTGCACTCATTGTGGAAGAGTATGACACTTAGAGACACTTGTCCTACCTTAACTCATGCTCAATTTAGAAGCACCTTTGGTATTGCTAATAATGTGATGAAGGAAAAGGAGCCAAAGATTAATTCTCCTGTCCATACTAAGTGGATTAAGGTTAACAAAAAAATAGCTTCTAATCCTCTCCCCTTCTAGGCAAGAAGGGATCTGAATCATTTTTTTCCAACAAAAAGAGACCCAAGCTTGTCTGGGTTCCCAAAACTAACTTGTGAGTTTTGTTGCAGGCTAAGGTGAGAGGAAACAATCAAGACTGGTATCTAGACAGTGGATGCTCAAGACATATGACAGGAGAAAAGAAAATTTTCCTCTCACTAACAACCTTCCAAGGAGGGAGTGTGTCATTTGGAAATAGGAAAAAGGGCCAGATAACAGGTATTGACAAGGTTGGTAAGTCACTTTCTCATGCTATAGAAGATGTATATTATGTGGTAGGTCTTAGATGTGTATTATGTGGTAGGTCTTAAACACAATCTTCTTAGCATCTCTCAAATGTGTGACAAAGGAAATGAGGTAAAATTTAATTCCAAAATTTGCACTGTCACTGAGCTTGATACTGATAAAATTGTGTCAGAGGGTAAGAGACATAACAATGTCTACAATATATCGATTATGTCACTTCCCCCAGAGTGAGCACACATGCTTGAGTGTAGTGGAAAGGTATCCACTTCTATGGAATAGAAGACTGGGATATGCCAGTCTCTCTTAACTCAACAAGTTGGCAGCAAAGGGCTTGGTCCTTGGGTACCTAAAGTTGAGTTCACCTCTGACAAAGTATGTGATGTCTGTGTTAGTGGGAAACATGTAATGTCATCCTTTAAATCTAAAAAGTTTGTAAGTACTTCTAAACCTCTGGAACTCCTTCACATGGACCTATGTGGAACAATGAGAATAAGGAGCATAGAGGGTAAGAGGTATATATTTGTGATTGTTGATGACTTCCTCAAGTATACTTGGACTTTGTTTTTGGGATCCAAAGATGAAACTTTGATGTTTTCTATGTATTTGTCAGAATGGTTAAACAAAAGCTAGGGTGTGTATATTAAGCATAAGAACTGACCATGGAACTGAATTTGAAAATTCAAAATTCCTTGAGTTCTGTGGCTGACATGGTATTGACCATAATTTCTCCGCACCTAGAACACCACAACAAAATGGGGTTGTAGAAAGAAAGAATCGATCCTTAGAAGACATGGGGAGGACCATGTTGATTGCTAGTGGACTGCCTAAGAGTTTCTGGGTTGAGGCAATCAATACTGCTTGCTACCTGCTAAATAGATGCATGGTCAGACCCATTCTTGAAAACAATCCCTATGAGTTGCTTCGAGGAAGAAAACCCAACATCACTCACTTGAGAGCCTTTGGGTGCAAATGTTTTGTGCATAATAATGGGAAAGAAGATCTATGTAAGTTTGATGACAGAAGTGATGAGGGAATTTTCTTGGGTTACTCTCCATATAGTAAGGCCTATAAAGTTTTTAATAAAAGATTTATGTGTGTGCAAGAAAATATTCATGTTATTTTTTATGAATATAACAATTTGGCTGAGAAAGGTCTGCAGGATGAAGATTATGACATAGGATTCACTGGTGATGGAGATACAAAGGAATATGAATCTCAGTCTAAAGATGGATCTAAAAACTACAAGGAAATTGACAGTGATCATGAGGAACAATAAGAAGAAAGAACTACTCTAACTGCTGACCAGACTAATGAAGCCACACCCACTGCACCTACTTCTTTGGGTCACTCCTCGGGTGAATCTTCTCTGGGTATATAGACCAGACCATGGAAGCATCAAAGTTCACATCCTCTTGAGAATATCATCTCTGATCCAAATACAGGAGGTGCAAACCAGGTCTTTTCTAAGAAATATATGTGCACTCACATCATTTCTCTCACAGGTTGAACCTAAGACCATCAAAGAAGCTCTAAAGGATACATACTGGATCATAGCCATGTAAGAGGAGCTAAATCAGTTTGAGAGAAGCAAGGTTTGGCACTTGGTACAGAAACACATGAATAGAACTGTCATAGGTACCAGATAGGTGTTCAGAAACAAGTTGGATAAACAAAGAAATATTACAAGGAACAAGGCCAGACTGGTGGTTCAGGGATACAATCAAGAGGAGGGCATTGACTATGATGAGACGTTTGCACCTGTAGCTAGAATGGAGGCTATAAGAATGCTGATATGACTTTGCTACCCATATGGAGTTCACCTTATATCAGATAGATGTAAAGAGTGCCTTTTTGAATGGTTATCTGAAGGAGGAAGTGTTTTTTAAACAAACTCCTGGATTTGAAAGTGAAGAATTTCCTGACAATGTGTTCAAACTAGATAAAACTCTTTATGGACTGAAACAAGCTCCAAGAGCTTGGTATGAAAGGCTCTCAAATTTCCTCTTAGCCAACAACTTTGTAAGAGGAAAGATGGACAACACTCTATTTCTGAGGAACAGAGGGAAGAATATTCTAATTGTGCTAGAGTGTGTATATGACATTATCTTTGGGGCTACCAATAAAGCAATGTGCAAGGAATTTGATGAGATGATGGAAAATGAGTTTGAAATAAGCATGATGGATGAATGGAACTTCTTTCTGGGGCTGCAAATCAAGCAAATACCTACTAGAACCATGATACATTAGCAGAAATATATCAAAGAACTTCTGAAGAAGTTCAATATGGACTCCTCTAAGTCCATTGACACCATTGCAACTGCAACAAAGGTGTACCCTGATGAAGAAGGGAAAAGTGTAGAACATAAACTATATAGAGGAATGAGTGGGTCACTGTTGTACCTCATAGCAAGGAATTTGATGAGATGATGGAAAATGAGTTTGAAAAGAGCATGATGGATTAATTGAACTTCTTTCTGGGGCTGCAAAACAAGCAAACACCTACTGGAACCATCATACATCAGCAGAAATATATTAAAGAACTACTGAAGAAGTTCAACATGGACTCCTCTAAGTCTATTGACACCATTGCAACTGCAACAAAGTTGTACCCTGATTAAGAAGGGAAAAGTGTGGAACATAAACTATATAGAGGAATGATTGGTCATTGTTGTACCTCACAGCAAGAAGGCCTAATATACGGTTGTACCTCACAGCAAGATTTCAGGAAAATCCCAAGGAATCTCAACTGAAGGATGTCAAAAGGATACTAAGATATCTCTAGGGGACCCATGACCTCTATCTATGGTATCCAATAAGGTATAACTTTAATCTAGTTGGTTATGCTGATGCTGACTATGCAGTTTTTCATGTTGACAGGAAAAACACTTCAGAAACAACTCATTTTCAAGGTTCTTGTCTGGTGTCTTGCTGAACCAAAGAAGCAAAACTCAGTGGCCTTATCTACAGCTAAGGCTGAATATGTGGCAGCAGCATCCTGCTATGCTCAGTTGCTATGGATAAGACAACAGCTAAGGAACTATGGTATATTTGTTGATTGTGTTCCCATTTTCTGTGATAACACCAGCGCCATAAACAATGCCAAAAATCCATGTCAGCACAAAAGAACCAAGCACATTGACATTAGACATCACTTTCTCAGAGTAATTAACTTTTGTAAAACTGAAGATTAAATTACTGATATTTTTACTAAAGTTCTGAGTAGGGATCACTTTGAAAGGAATATACTTGAACTGGGTCTAATCAACTCTTTCCACTAAGTTGAATCCCACTGATTGTCTAGAAAAGGCATAATTAGATATAGATAAGTACAATGTGTTTGATTCAGCTTTGTGCTTGTATTAAGCTCACACACTTGCTTGGAAAATCTTGCTGATAACTGTGTTGTATGATACTAAAATAAAGTGTTAAAGTTTTGTTGCAGAAACAAATAAGAAGTTGCTAAGGAGTTGGTTCTTTGACGCAGGTACGTGTCATACTGTCTTAAGTAACTAGGAGTTTATATCCTAAAATTATTGCTATGCTCAGACTTCTAATTCTGTTGGCATCATTTCCAGTCGTCCTCTAGTCAAAGAGTAAGGGGAATCCTAGTGCAATTAGAGTTCAATTACTCCTAAAATCCTAACAGTCAAAGTAACCGTTATAAGAGTCACATTAGAACTAAAATTCAGTCACCTTCTCTCTTCCAGTCAAATCAGGAGTAACGTCTTTAAAAGGCTCTGATGATCAACTTCTCAGACCTCAATGTTTCTCTCAAACCCTAATCAAGAATCAAAAGCAATTATCAAGAAATAATTCTCCCTTTCTGTTCTTCAAGACTCGCTCACCATGCCTAAAGCCAATCAAACCCCCTCTAAAGCCAAATCATCAACCAAGGCTAAAGCAAAACCCAAAATCATGAAGCCCAAATCAAAGAAAAGTGCCAAGCCATCAAGGGAACCCATACCCATACCCACACCTACTTATTCTCCTTCGATATCCTCCACTATAACCACATCATCATCCCATGTTCCTATTGCTCCTATCATCCCCACCTCCATTGTACCCTCTTCTCTAAAACCAACCACCCATTCACTTGAGCTTACTGCGAAAAATACATCTATGTCAACAACGGTCAAGGCCACCCCAAGAAATTCTGTCAAGAAAGTACTTGATGCTGTTACGCAGGTTCACACAATAGACAAGGAATCCGTGGTTCAGGGGGAATCAGTGCCAGTCATTACTGATCAGGTACAACATCCTCTTTCTAAATTAGATGTTTTAGTGTTTGTTATAGATACTGCACCCCTAGATAATCTCCCACCCATGGGTGAGAAACCACAAGTGGAGAAATTCACTATAGAAAAAGGTGCAGGTGATATGGGGAAGGAGGTAGATACTACTATTGTAGAGCTTGTGGTTGATGGGGAAGGATGTAAATAACCTGTTCAAAAAGAGTCTTTTGATGGCCTTTCTTTTAGTTGGACTGAGGATGAGGAAGATAATGGGGGTGAAAAAGAAGAAGAAGTTATGAACAGTCACGAGGAACATGATGATCAAAACATAGCCAATGAATAAGAAAAGAGTGAGAATGAGGGATCATATGGAGATGAGAAGGAGAGTGATATAGATGATAATATAGGTGAACAAGTTAATGATTCTACAGAAGAAGAAAATCATAGTGAAGAAGATGACAACTCTAAAAGTGAGGGTGAAGATCAAGAAAATGTAAGTGAGAGTGAAGGAAGTGATGAAGAGAGTGAGGAAGAAGATGGGAATATGAGAAAGGAATCTCAAGGTTCCATAACCATTAGGAGGGTTCCAAAAATCTTACCTTATATTATAGACAAGTTTGAGAAAGGGGCACCCCTACTATACCCCTAAACTACAAGCTAGCGCGCAATGACTGAAAAGCCGTTATTGCTTGCTGCTTGCAGGCTCGAAAACCTCTCTTTCGCCTCTCATCCCTGTCCTAATTCTGATTGATTAACTTCTTTCTTCGCGCAAGCTACGGTCTAACGACCCCTTAACACCTTCTGCTTTTAGACAGACAGAAAGCAGAAAGAGAGCCCAAGGTGCTGACCCGCAGCGAGGCAGGCGGTTTGTCACATGAACTAAATGATAATAGTATATTACCCCTCTCACTTTGTTCGAGCTGAATTACATCCACCCTCTCACGGCCGAAGGCTCCGCAACAGCTCTTAAGCTTAAGCTTTTACGAACTGAAAGATCTTCCCATTCTAAATAAGAATGAGAGTCTTTCAACTAGATGTGCTCCTTTGGCTGGGTTTGAGAGAGAGAGTGTGAGATAGTTGGTCTAATAACTAGTCCAACTTCCTTGTATCTGAAAGAGATGACAGGATGTTAGGTCTAGTAAGGAGAGTTTTTAGATAATTTACCTCCACGAATAGACTGTTAGGCTAAGAAGAATAGGTTGGGATTGATCCCACATTTGAAAGAGTGGTTTTGTTCTGTCAATACAGCTTATCGAGTTATCGGTTCGGATCACTTACAATACACGGGCTATACGAAGAAAGGGGTTGGGTTAGGAGCGTTTTCAATATAATTCTTTTCCTGTATTTGTTCGATGAGAAATGCGAGTCTGTTTTGTCCACTTTCTTCATCCCCCTCTATCAAAATGATCAAAAAGGAAGGCGAGCTTACTTCTTATTCCCGTGTTTGATCTCTTCCATCTCCGCCTGGCTCATTGCACTTCCATAGCCCCTTTAGAAAAAAACTGGTGAAGAGACAAGGGCTCAAGAACCTTTGTCTCTTTTAACTCCTTTCACTGGAGATAAAGAAGTTAGCAGTGATGAAGATGATGTGCCACTATCTGAGGTAGGGAGGAAACCCAGGAAGACCCTTGTGAAAGTTATAAAGTCAGTAGTCTCAATAAGGAAATGAGTGGTTCCTCCTGCCAGAACTCCTATTACAAGGAGTAAAAGAAAGGTTGTTGATTCACAACTCATTAAGGAGTCTAGAAGTGCAAAGAAGCCAAAGAAGAAGGTCTCAATTGTGGAACCTATTGTTTATGTGGATGGAGAAGATGAGTATGACTCTACTTTGCCAGCTAAGTCTTCTTCACCAAAGAGAAAGGGTGCCAAAGTTACAAAACCTACTACCCCTTCTACAAGGGCCAGTAGGGGTAAGACAAGAAATAATGTTCTAGCTGCAGTTGATCGACTCATAGAGTTCAGGAACCAAAAATTGCTAAATGGGAAGATTCTTGCGATTACTGATGAGAAGGTGATGGCTCAGCTGGTTAAAAAACTTGAGCTACAAGGATGGAAGCATATATTTGTCAAAGCTTTCCCCCCAGTATGTGTTCCTGCTGTGGTGGAGTTATATGCAAATTTCAACTTTGATGGGAAGGTAGTCAAGAGTAAGGTGGGGGGCTTTGAAATGGAGTTTGATGCTGAGTAGCTGAGGATGCTTCTGAATATCTCTTCATTGGGATTTGACAATTACTTGAAGAAAAAATGGCCAGCAATAGACAATGATGTTGACACTGGCATTGTGGTCACAAGGAAGTTACCCCAAAAGTTTGAACTAGATGCTCCCCAGAAAGTGTACAAGACTGATATGACTCCCTTCCACAAGTTATTATTTCAATTTGTCAATTCCTATATTCTTCAGAGATCTCAGAGAAGGCATAAAGCTACTCTGCTGGACATGGCTGTGATGGAGTTGCTTGACACTGGTAGACCTATCAATCTTCCTAGCCTGATGATTCAGCACATGGCAAGAGATACAGACACCTCCAAACCCAAACATGTTATGCCTTATGGTTTCATGTTGACTGAGTTGTCTGAAAAGCTCAGTATTCCCTTACCCGAGCTTAAGTTTGGAAACCTTAATGACATTTTGGATGCTGTTACCCTCAAGCAGTATAGGTATGAGGAGATCAAGACTAGAGGACCCATAGGATTCGCTATTCTACCTGGGAGCAGTAGGGCTACAGAACTTAGCAAGAGGTTGGAATTGTCTATTGAAGAGAATGCCAAGCTTCGTGAAGACAATAATGAGCTGAGAAAGGAAACAAAGCAACTTAGGGAAGAGCTCTGAAGAGATAGGGAGGCTCATGCCCAATAGATTGCCACCCTTATGAAAGCTTTGACCCCCTCTACTTCTCACCCATGAACATGTTCCTTCCCAGTGTCCTTCGTTCTTTTGCTATTCCAGTGATGCCTTATTTTTTTTTCATTTTTTGACTTAGTCTGAGTAGTTTGCAATATGCTTAGTTTATTTTGTTCTAATGAAGACAATGCCCTTGGCTTATTTTGGCACTACTTAATGTATCCTCTTGCTCTGATTTACTGCTTGGAACTATAATGGATCATCAACCTAGTCTATTTGCCTTGATATTTCTTAAGCTTGTGTTGTAGCCTGTTTGGCCTTGAATCTTACGTTACCTGTACTTAATATCTATGTAACAACCCGACCGATCGATTACAGTGTTGTAACGTTGTTCCCCTTATTTATTACTTATTCTATGCTCAATTATTGTTATGTGACTTGTCGGAGTAGTTGGTTTGGTTCTGAGGATGTTTCAGAATGGAATAAGATACTTAGTCCCAAGGTTGGAAGCTTAAGTTGAAAGAGTTCATCGGATGTTAACTTATGTGTAAATGGCTCCGGAATGGAGTTTTGAGGGTTCCGATAGCTTCGTATGGTGATTTTGGACTTAGAAGTGTGTCCGAATATTGATTTGGAGATTTCTAGGTGATTTTGGCTTGAAATGGTGAAAGTTGAAAAATTAGAAGTTTAGAGAGTTGAGAAGTTTGACGGAGAGTTGACTTTGTGGCTACCGGGCTCAGATTTTGGTTCCAGAAGTTTGAATAGGTCCGTTGTGTCATTTATGACTTGTGTGTAAAATTTGAGGTTAATCGGAGTTGATAGAAATTAGAAGTTCATAAGTTCATTAGGCTTGAATCGATGCGCGATTTGTGGTTTTAGTGTTGTTTTATATGATTTGACGCCTCGACTCAGTTCGTATCATATTTTAGGACTTCTTGGTATGTTTAGTTGAGGTCCCGAGGGCCTCGTGTGTGATTCGCATCATGTTCAGGGCATTTTGAACCTTGGAAGAATTCTAATTTAGCTGGTGCTGGTTTTCATGTACGCGATCACGATAGGAGGATCGCGACCGCGAAGGGTTTTTTTGGCAGCTGAGATTTTGTTCTATGTGTTCGCGAGCACATAGAACAAATGGGTTCTATGTGCTCGCGATCGCGTAAGATGGTAAGGCACTAAATCGCGAATGCGTGGGTAAGATCGCGTTCGCGAAGAGGAAAAGAGAGGGTCGGGGTTCACGCGTACTTGTTCATCGCGATCGCGTAGGTATGAGGAGTCAGTGTATCGCATTCGCATAGGATTTTTTGCGTTTACGTAGAATAAATTTTTGGGCAACTGAGTTTGTGCTTCACGAACGTGAGGCACTTTCCGCGTTCGCGAAGAAGGTTGTCTAGGTAGATTATAAAAATCTCAAAAACGAGGGTTTGAGTTATATTTCACAATTTGATTTTGGGAGATCGGATTGAGGTGATTCTTGGAGATATTTTCAAGCGAGTGATTTAGGTAAATGATTCTAACTCGGTTTTGGTTAAATTACATGAATATATCATTGATTTCATCATTCAATTAGTGATATGGTGTGAAAATTGGGGAAAATTGTAGAAACTACATATGCTTTAATTTGAGGATTTGAAGGTCGAGTTTTGATCGGATTTGAGTAATTTTGGTGTGGTTGGACTCGTGATTGAATGTGTGTTCGGATTTTGTTAATTTTGTCAGATTCTGAGATATGGGCCCAGGGTTGACGTTTTGAGTTGAATTTTTGAGTTTTGCTTAAGAACTTAGCTTTTCATATGAAATTGATTCCTATAGATCGTGTTGATTGTATCGAATTTTTTGTGGCTAGAATCGAGTTGTTCGGAGGCCAATTCGTGAGGGAAGGGCTTGTTGGGGTAGAGATTTTCATTGTTTGAGGTAAGTAACACTTTCTGAGGGTATGAATCCCTAAATCACGTGTTATGTGGTTGGTGTTGAGGTGACACACATGCTAGGTGACGGGCGTGTGGGCGTGCACTGTGTGAATTGTGACTAGGTCGATTCCGTGGAACTGTGTAGTTGAATAATATTGTTGTTATCCATATATTCTCCATGTGTTAGAGAAATTAAACTGCAATTCATGTTTGAAATCCTGCTTAGGCCATATGCTAATACTGTTGGGACCCACAGATGTCGTGTTGTTGTTAAATTACTCGCTTAATTTGCAATTATGTACTCAGTCACAACTATTATGTGCATATCATATCTTAGTCTGTGTTATTGATACGTCATATCATCAATGTTTGGGCTTATTAACATGATACTTGTGAGCCCAAAATTCTGGAGAGACTGATGGCTGAGTGGGGCCGAGCGCCTCATTGTGAGGATATTTATGGGAAAGGGCCGCACGCTTTAGAAAGCTTTATTGATTCATGCCATGATTTGCTTATTATAGTGCTTGGGCAGGATCCGCTCCTCCGGAGTCTGACTTATCAACAGTGAGCGCAGGTACCTATTGAGTGCGAGTGCCATGAGCGAGTGCCGAGCGACTGGGAGGATTGAGTGACTCTGAGGAATGAGTGACTGTGAGGATTGAGTGAATGGGAGGACTGAGTGAGTTGATACTCTGAGAGTATGCATATGATTTCATTACTATTTTTGCATTACAGTTAGCATACATAATTGACATGTAGATATCGAGATGTATCATTCCTCATTTCAGTTACACTTGGCATATTTTACCCGTTTGAGCTTTAACTATTAAACTTAAAAGTATGTCTAAAGTTTTGTATTGTTATTTCTATATTTGGATTGTACCTGTTGAGCTCGTCACTGCTTTCAGCCCAAGGTTAGTCTTGTTACTTATTGAGTACATTGGGTCGGATGTACTCATACTACACTCTGCACTTCGTGTGCAGATCTAGGTACTTTCGGGTACAATGGTTGCTGATTTTGGAGTTTTATTGTTCAGAGATTTTCGAGGTAGCTGCTTTGGCGTCCGCAAACCTTGACTCTCCTCCTTTATCTTTTAGTTTTTATTATACCGTTCTATTTTCCTAGACAGTGTTTCAGACCATATTATTGCATAGATGCTCGTGTACCCAGTGACACCTGGATTTTGGGAGAAAATTATATTGAGTCGTGGTATTTTCATATCAGTATTTATGAGATTTTACTCTTAAACTTATTTTATTATGTTTTCAAACGTAAGAATGCATGGTTTATTATGGTTTTTGGCTTTCCTAGTATCACGATAGGTGCCATCACGACATGTGAGTTTTGGCCGTGGCAAGTTGGTATCAGAGCCTAGGTTACATAGGTCTCACGAGTCATGAGCAGGTTTAGTAGAGTCTTGCCGATCGATATGGAGACGTCTAGTACCACCAGCTAGGGATAATAGAGGTCAGGGCCGCGGTAGGGGCCGAGTTACAACTCGTACAGCAGCTAGAGCGGCATCTGCAGATCCACCAGTTGCTTCAGTGTAGGAGCAGATTTCAGATATGGTTGAGCGGGTGGGACCAGCTCTAGCACCAGTTGTGCCCATTGTGATTCCAGGCCTTCAGGAGAATCTGGCCCAGATATTGACTGTTTGCACTAGCCTTGCTCAGGTAGTTTCGGTTCCGGCCGCAGCAGCCACTTCTCAGACCGGGGAGGTGCTCAGACTCCCGCCGCCCGTACTCCAGAGCAAGTGATGTAGAGACTTCAGACACCGGGGGTACTACCAGCCCAGCTGGTTGCAGTTGCTGAGGCTCAGGTGGGTCTCATTATGAATGATGAGGAGCAGAAGAGAGTAGAGAGGTTTGGAAGGCTCAAGCCTCCAACATTTAGTGGGGCTGAGTTTGAGGATGCTCAGGACTTATTGGATAGGTGCCAGCGAATTCTTTGCACGATGGGTATTCTGCAGGCTAGTGGAGTCTCATTTACTACTTTTCAGCTGATGGGGGCAGCCTTTAGATGGTGGGAGGCCTATGAGCGGATCAGGCCAGCTGATGTTGCACCACTTTCATGGCACGAGTTCTTCGTTCTCTTATTGGAAAGGTTTGTGCCACCAACCTGCAAGGAGGAGTTGCGTAGGTAGTTTGAGTAGCTACTCTAGGAGGGCATGTCTGTGACCAAGTACGAGATGAGATTTTCAGAGTTGGCCCATCACGCAATCTGGTTGGTTCCCACGGAGAGGGAGAGGATTAGGAGGTTCATTGATGGCCTCAGCTACTAGTTGCATTTTGTTATGACTCGAGAGAATGTATTAGGTGCTAGGGTCAATGAGGTGGTTGATATTGCTCGGCGACTAGAGTTGGTCCGTAGTCAGGAGCATGAGGAGAGGGAGGCCAAGAGGCCTCGTGGTTCAGGTGGTTTCAATGGTGTTCCTTCTG